GATCTCCTGACCTCGTGATCCGCCCATCTCGGCCTCCCAAAGTGCTGGGATTACAGGCTTGAGCCACTGCGCCCGGCCTAATTTTTGTATTTTTAATAGAGACAGGGCTTTGCTATGTTGGCCGGGCTGGTCTCAAACTCCTGGTCTCAAGTGATCTACCCACTTCAGCCTCCCAAAGTGTTGGAATTACAGGTGGGGGCCACCATGCCTGGCCTGTTCTATTAGTTATGAATTCCAAGTAACTTGACTTGAAAGACAGTGGTTTAAACAAGTTAGTTTTTTCTCATCTAATGAAAAGTCCAGGGCTCATACCACAGCTCCACAATGTCATCAAGGAACCCAACATCTATCTTTGTGCTGCACTAATTGTAGCATGCAGTTTCTATCCCTCATAGTTGCAAGACAGCCAGTGTAACTTGCTATCATATCCATGTCTCAGGCAAGATAAAGAACAATAAGGGAAAAAGGAAAAAGGGGCCATGCTACTTCACTTCCCTTTAAAGGACTTTCCCTAAATAAAGGGCTTCTCCAGGTGTCCTACCCAATGACTTTAGTTTACATTTAATTGAGCCACAATTGGTCATGACTACCTCTAGCTGCATGGGAAGCAGGAAAATGTGGCTTTTTAGCTGATTGCATTGCTGCCTTGAAAAGAAATTAAGATTTTGTTACTAAGAAAAAATCGGTATTCAGTAGGCTCCTAGATGCCTCTACTACATATCTAGATTCTAAAACTAAACCCAGATCTAATATAAGTCTATGATTTCTGTCTCTGATTCCCTGATATCACTTGCCAGATGGGAATACTATGCATTAGCCAAGAGATGCTGGTAATAATGTGAACACTTTTTAAAAATAGAAAAGTAGACTTTAATGAAGTTATCTTACAAAAAAATGTACAAATCATGACTGTTCAAAGTGCTTGATGAATTTTCACAAAGTAAACATATCCATGTAACCAGGACAAGGTTCTAAGGTCTTCTACTGGAGTTTTCACGAAGTAGGGAAAGAGGAAGAGCCAATTCCATCCCCGGGAACTATGTTCTTTAGCTGTAGCCCCACAAAAGAGGGGTCTTCAAAGCCACATAAAGTATATCACGTATGACATATATATTTCCCTTTCTTTCTCTTTCATGTAGCTGAAATTGAAAGATGAGGCTCTGCTTGCAGAGATCCACACACTACAGGAAACAGTTAGCTTTGGAAATCCATCTTTCTGATACCCCTCCAGCTGAACAATTTTCCGTATGGGACTCTGAGTTCCTTTCCTTCCCAGAGAGTTTCACCATATGAAGTCTGGAGCTGGAGAACGAAAGAATCTTCACCATAAACAGAGACCCATTCATTTATTTCCATTGGCTGTGTTACTGGATGTTTTACTGGTTGACAAGAAACTGGGTCACAATAAAAAATGAAGATATGAAACTCAAAATTCATCAGTGTGGTTCTGGAGTTAACGTATACTGAATTATATGTAGGTATAAATAACTATAGTGTAATTGCTATAATTATATGGCATATATATACATATAATAAAATTAAGGTATAGTGGGGTCATTATTAGGGTTTCTGATGAAAGTTTATTGGATCACTCCTGGAGGAAGTCTGGTGCTAAGGTCTCTGGCCAGGTTCAGTTAACTGAAATACAAGAATTAAGGCATCATTTTCAAAGGTGGCCCTGGAGGAAGACTGCTATGCTGGGTCACTGTATTAGGGCAAAGAGCATGTTAGCCCTTTGGAACTAACAGTAAACGAAAAAAGCTGAATAGAGAGGTCTTTGCTGAAGGTGGAGCTATTGACACCTTCTCACTACTGACACCTTCTCACAGGCATCTTCATGGATCTAAACCACTAGGGCTCCAAGGAGACACCATTACCCTCATCACTGAGGCCATATTCTAGGGCTACAGATGTTTAAAAAAAAAAAAAAAAATCATACTTCACCTCTGCCCTGGATCACAGCACGGCAAAAGCAGGAATAACCTCTCCTTTATTTTTTAAGGTGTGATTGCCTCGACAGGGGTGGATGACAATAGGAGGAAAGGTGAGAGGTAAATTAGTTTTAGTTAACGAGAAGGATAAAGTAAACTCTAGTCACTTATAATCCTTCTTCTAGTCTCAGCCCTGACACTACCTCCTCTGTGAAGTCTTCCTCAGCAAGCATTAAGTCTGCCTTCTCTGCTCGCTCTCCTTGCACTGAGTACTATTGATCGCCCTAGTTTCTCCGCTGTCATCTCACGGTCTCCCCAGCGGACTGTGAGCTCCACGAGGAAAGGACAGCGCCCTTTAGTATTTGCCTTCTCAGCGTTGCGCCTGGGCAGCAACGCCTGCAAGATGGATGGATGGTGTAGCATTTCTCTTGGAGCGCCTGGGATTCGCCCAAAACTTCTGACTCCAGCACGGATCGCACCGTCACGCCCACAAGACACCACGAGAAACGCCTCTTTTGCAGCAGTTTAAGGTACGTTAGGGGTCACCGTGTTGCATTGTGGGAAGTATAGGGCGGCAAGCGGAAGAGGCGGGGCGAGTGGACCATCCGCTTCCGGAGTCAAGGTTTTCGGGCTTTGGACGGCTAGGCGGTGCGGCCTGCAGTTTGTTTCTGTCTGTCTTCTGCCTTGCTAAGGCCGTAGAGCTGGTGCGTGCGGGTAGCGGGGCGCTCCGAGGAGCCGTATGCCGGCGGCGCCATGGTCCACCTCAGTAAGTCATCGGGTCCCCGCGAGACGTACCGGGCGGTCACGGGGCTCGGGAGTTCGGGGCCGGGTGGGGCGGTGCTCTCCCAGGCGCGATGGAGGCAACCCGAACCTGAATCAGCCACACTGCCTTACATTTGATCCTCCTCTCAGTTTTTTCCCCACTTAATCACTGGTGAAAAATTTCCACCCCACTGAAGCAGCTAAGGTTCGCACAAGGTCACAGAGCCTAGTGAATGGGAAGCCCATGCCGAGTGGGTTTGGGTATGAGGAGGAGGTCATTGCTGGCTGGAGTGGCCAAGAGGGGTTTCACAAAGAAGAATAGCATCTAAACTGAATTGACAGGAATAGATTGGAAGTGAGACATTTCAGTGGAAAAAGGAAACTGTGCTGTCTGTGTCATTTTGCCCTTTCTGTGCTGTTTTTTTTTTTTGTGTGTGTCCTAACCACCTGCTTTTCTACAGGTCCTCTCCTCTACAAGTCCTACCGTGGGGGCCACTTAACCATCCGCCTTGCCCTGGGT